CCTCTACCCTGGGGCTGCGGCAGCGGGGTTCGGATGGCAATTTAAAGGGTCTGGGACTCCGGCTGCTGCGGGGAGCCCCAGACCCTTTAAATCACTGCTGGAGCCCTGCCACCGCTACCCCGGAGCTGTGGCAGCAGGGCTCTGCCAGTGATTTAAAGGGCCCAGGCTCCCTGCAGTGGCCAGAGCCCAGAGCTCTTTAAATCACCATCGGAGCCCTGCTGCCTCTACCCCGATATAACGGGGTTTCACCTATAACGCGGTAGGGATTTTTGGCTCCCGGGGACCGCGTTATATCGGGGTAGAGGTGTACAAATTTATAATGATTATAATAATAATAATAATACAAAACTTTATGGGCTTCTGTGATTCCTTTATCAGTTCATCCTATAAAAGCTGACATCCACTCCACATTCAGACAATAATTTTAATGCTTACAAGATGCACATGGAGCCCTATTCAAGGATACTATTGGTTGTAAAATATTATTATAATGTTAAACAGCATGGTAATATTCAGCTCATTATTATTATGTAGGCTAAGCTATATAACTCATTTTAATTGTAATATCAATCATTCTAAGCCTTACATAGGACACTAGAAAGTTTAATACTCTACTATAGTATACTCCATCAGGCACATTTGTTGGAATGTTTCATGAGATACAGACACCAAGCCAAATTCATCCATAATGTATTTCAATTGAAGTCTATTGATTATGACCCATTACAACTAATTTTTTTTTAAGTTATTGACATAAAATATTTAAATAGCGTTAAAAACTCTTTCGAAAATTAAGAAATGTTCAATTGTATCAAGAATATTTTAAAACATCCAGATTTTTTTCCTGTCTCTCATCTGGGGCACTATAAAATCTTATTAGTTTGGATGACTGCATGGCAGCAAATGAGAGCACGTGGTTTATAAAACTCATGTAAAAGGGTTTGGGTATGGGTGGACTTATCCTATAATGTTCCTCAAAACATTTTATCAGCATTCATCAACATACAGAATGAAGGCCAGATTCTGAACCCCGTAAGCCTGCAAGGATGCAATTAGCTAGAAGAGTGGTTCTATAGGCTCCAATGAGACTACTCACAAAAGTAACTACTTACCAATGGGACTAAAAGGTTCACAATCTCTCTCTTCAGGAGGTTTCTATTTGTAGCTATGTTTTTATTTTTCCATTTTTAAAAAATGGACTATGTTACTTTTGTATACAATTAAATATTAGCTCTACATGCAGTAGAACTAATGTCGTTGACAACTCTCAAAATTGCCAGCATGACTGTCTCCAGAACAGAATTTTCATATCATTTGCTTTTAGAGGGCAGAAATAAAAAGCTAAAGTCAATGCTGATGTAAATGGGCACAACTCCACTGAAATCAGTAGTGTCACACCTGCTTACTTCTTCCAGGGCTCAATTGACCCAAAGTTTCTATTGTGCGACTTCATTTTGCTAACATAGAAATTTTTAAAATAGTTCAATATAACTGCCCAGAATACAGTAATATTGACTTCTGTGCATATTTCTGAGGATTGGTGTTAATCTCTCTCTCACACACACACACACACTCAAGGAAGGCATCTTGCTATTTACTAATCATATAATCATCTTGAACACAAAACACTACATTAAAAAAAATATTTAGGTTGCAACGTCAATCAGTCGAAAGTTAGGAAATGTCAGATTTACTCTTAAAGATTTTAACTCTTTATACCTTAGCCAAATCTCTGTGGAAATTCATCTGACAAAGAAAAGGCACTTCTGTACCCAGAGATTCCCCCTGCCAAATATCAATAACTACTGCAAACAATGAAGGGATGAGACCTCATCAAAAGAAAAGATCACAAGAATCCTTTATAATAGAAAGTTAGGCAACCTAAGTACAGGAGTCTCTACTAGCTTCCTTCATATTTAATATAGTTGTACTGAACTACGTACATCTGTGTTGGTGACAATGGCCTAGATTCTCAAAGGTATTTGGGCACCTAACTCCCATTGACTTCAATGGGACTTAAGTGCCTAAATGTGGTTGAGGATCTGGCCCAAAATATGTTGTCATTCTAATGATGAAAATTTCCCTTAGTCTATTTTTTACTATTTCACTAGCCTATTTACTGCTATTGGCTGTAAAAAACCAAATCATTGTAGATTGTGTTTCTATTACTTAGTATTCTTGAGAATTTGGATCCAGGGTGTTACAGCTCACTGACCATTTCTGAGGATCCAGCTAAGCTAAATTGTTATATTTAATTCTAACCACACAAGATGAGTAAATGTCTCTTCAATAAATGCAGCGCTGATTTTATTTTAGCCTTTTATCAAGGCCAGACAGTTCAACAGTTTGTTAGAAAATAGGAAACTGAAAGGGAATGATTGCCTTCAGATCAAACTCAGAGTTTTAAATTAGCAAGTGAATCATGGGAGTAGAATTATAAGCCATTAAAATAAGCTTACCATATGTTGATATTTTAGGACTAGATTCAATAAAAACTCTTCTAGTTTTCCCACTGCAAAAATCTGTGCATAACTCCACAAGCCTTAAAAACAAATCTGTTTTGGCTTTTAAATTGGCTGGAATTAAAAAAAACCACCTCTAGTTATGAGATGAAAGCCTTGTATAATGAATGTGCATTATTAAAAAATCCTAAAAATGAAGCTCATAAACATCCCATACACTCCATGGTTCTATGGTTGTGGAATTCACCCCTTGCCATTGAACATAAGCTATCATATTTTGATTATGAAAATTAGAAAGTTTTCTGATTCTAGCCCTTATAGTTGTGAAAATAGCCTTGAAAATAAGAACAGAGCATACAAAGATGCAGTGTTGGCTTCCTGAGTTTGCAGAAAACTTAAAAAAGTAACTCACAGGCATGACCTGCCCCCTTCATTACAAAGGGATGTTAACTATGAAACCTAAAGATGACCATTAAATATCAAGGTGGGGAAGGTAATGTCTTTTATTGGACCAACTTCTGTTGGTGGAAGAGAGAAGCTTTTGAGCTTCACAGAGCTCTTCTTCAGCTGTGGATAAAATTTTCTAGACCTGAAAAGCTCTGAGCAGCTCAAAATCTTGTTTTCCACCATCAGAAGTTGGTCCAGTAAAAGATATTACCTCCTCCACCTTGTCTCTCTCATATCCTGGGACTGACATGATTATAACAACACTCCCAACATTAATTTAGTTAACACGGTTAACTATTTCACTGCAGCTTATTTTTAAGATACCAGTATGTCCAGATACTGTGACTACCCAGCTGCCAAACCTTCCAACTTCCTCCCTTAATACCTGCTACAGAGCAGTAAGGTATTTTTCACAAAGAGTTCTGTGGCACACTGGAAACTGAAATTGAGGGTACAGTGTTAAATAAAATAAATTTAATATAAAAAAATGACTCTCAGGCTCTGTTACAGACAGTATTATTCCGTTTCAGCTTTAATTTAATAAAGCCTCAATTTTCAAAATGTCACTGAAGTTGCCACCAAATTTCTACCGGCAGGCCCCAAAACCCAGAGATCTTTCAGACTTTAGGTCCAACTTGCAGTGGACCTTGTTTATATACATCATTATCAAATAACATTCCCTCACACACACACACACACACTGTGGCAATAACATCACAGACGTTTCAGGAAGACTGATTTTTGAAAGCAAGAGGTCTATTGCCGTCCATGTTATTTGATCTAACAGAAAAATAGAGGCATGTAAAACTACTTACCAGTAGTTTTTATTTAGGCTAAATCAAGCTCTTATGGGATATGCTTAGGCAGAAGAAAGGAGGACATGCAACTGGTACTTGAGACACAATGCTAGTGCAAAGTTGCCAAAAACACAGAGCAGGGAGCATGTTTGGGCTACCATGAGCAAGATCAGCATGCGCTCCTTAACCACTGCCAGCTGGCACTCTCTGCTCAATGCACAATATTCACTAGGCAGCCTGGAGGACTGGATATACATCTTAACCCTAGATCATGTCCCATGGGGATATGTTGGCAAGCCCACCTTGCAGTTCAAATAAATCCTGCCTGCCTTCTGGTGCAAGAGAGAGAAGGTTCCCTACTCTCTTCTTTCCACTAAGCATCAGGACAACAATACAGGACAGAGATCTTAGGGTCAAATCATATTCTTCCCCCTGAGCACAACTGCACTATCAGGCAACTCTCAAAGGGCAGCAGAACTACAACTATTCCATTGCACACAGACAGCCCACAAACAGGGGCTTCCTGGGCCCCTACCCACCATGAAGATTCATGGATGGGAAATAAGAGTGGCAAGGATGGTGGCCAGCGGGTCTACAAACTACACTGTTTCACTAGGTAAAGCCCATAAGTAGGGGGTGGAAGAGAACCACAGCCACTGCTACAGCACAGAGGCTGCAGAGAACAGCTACAGAGTAGCTGACTGTTCTGTGCAGTGTCTGGTTTGGGGTGGGAGGAGGATTCTATCCCCCCAACTATTATGCAGGTCCCCTGGATTTTGCACAGGCAATGGGAGCTTGCCCTACTGAGTAATAGGAGTTCTTGTTGATTCTTGTTAATTCCTACGTTCAGAAATGTTTCTCATATTTCCAGTGACATTACCTGTTGCTAAATGTGTAGCTATTTCAAGCTTACTTTTATCTGGGGGGGGGGAGGGGCGGGTAGGGAATCACACTCTTATCAACATACAGTACAACTATTTCCTATTGATTTTCAAATTATAATATGTAAAGTGGGTGCAAACCATATGGATAATATGTAAAGTGAGGCACATTTTGCTTTTAGAGAGCTCAGCTGATACAGTTTGCATTGGTGATTTCCCTGTGCAGCGCTCTTTCTGTTAACTTTTTGCTACCTCTTCAAAACAAATCCACTCTTTTAGATTTTCATATCTTTCTGGCTGACAGCTTGCTGTCATGGATAGAATGGCTCTACAGGAGGAAATGTACGAAGGGCATGTCACCAATTACAACTGTAACTATTTCCAAGGGATTTTGAAAATAAATCCTAATTTACCTCTTAATTCTACCTTCGCATCTGAGAACTGGAAGCAAGTCCCTGGGAAGTTGATTCTGGAGTTAACTTCTTGTACTTGGGAGAGTTTAAAATCCTGGAAAAAGAAAGAACTGTTAGAGTTGAACAACATAATATGGCAGAGATTTTAATCACGTCCAACACACCCATAGTAAAAGTAAATGAAGAGCTCAATGTTACCCTTTTGCTCCGCTCTCCTTTCTGACCCCACAGATTACCCTCTGCAGGTATTTGAGGCAATTTCACCTTCACAGTTTTGGAGGTAGCAGGCTAGAGGAATAGCTGCTGCATCATCCCTTGTGAACCCCGCAGGAAATCTTAGCACACGTTAATGATCATCAAAATCCACATTAACACATGCTGGTTTCCCCACAGCTGAAGGGGGGTTTCAAGGTACCTGTCAGCAGAATCGAGGATATAAAAGAATTTCACCTTTTAAAAAATGAAGTTAAACAATATAAATGGATGCACTGCTGTTTTATTGACTCAGCCAACAGACAGGTGGGCTAAACGTAAATAAAACTGTACATTCCCCCTCTTTAGTCCCCAACTCCTGTCTGTGCCAGCACCTTCACCGCTTTAACTCAGACTTTACTAGGCATTCAGCAACTGCATCCACAAAGGTTACTGTATCTCTCTTATCTTTAAATAGGTTTTTCTGAGAAACTAAGCTGAGTGCTGAACAAAGTGCTCTGCTAGCCCACCTCTTGAGACAGACAAGATTGCTTTGATAACACTTCACTATTGACATGCCACAAAATACACCAAGTCACTGATATTCTATTTACTAATATCAAGAAGACACCAGGGTCGGTAACAGCCAACAAAAAAAAAAAAAAAAAAACAAGAAGGATTTTCATTAGACCACAAATCTGGTTAGTCTCAGTGCTGCCAACTCCCATGATTTTATTGTAAATCTAGTGATATTTGGTGTTCCTCTTAAAGCCCCAGCTCCTCAAATTTTGTAATTACAAGAAAACTTCAGCTTTCATTTAAAAAGAAAAGTACATTTCTAGCCCCTGTAGTTGAGGAGAAAAACTTGAAAATGTGACTGGAAAGTAACCTAAAGGCTCAAAAGCCAGAAAGTAACTCAAAAGAAATCCAATTTTCTTCAGTGTCATGATTTTGAAGCCAGTCTCATGATTTGGGGGACCTGACTCATGGTTTTAAATACCTAAGAATATAAGAGCGGCCATACTGGGTCAGACCAAAGGTCCATCTAGCCCAGTATCCTGTCTTCCGACAGTGGCCAGTGCCAGGTGCCCCAGAGGGAATGAACAGAACAGGTAATTATCAAGTGATCCATCCCCTGTTGCACATTCACTACTTCTGGCAAACAGAGGCTAGGGACACCATCCCTGCCCATCTTGGCTAGTAGCCATTGATGGACCTATCCTCCATGAATGTATCTAGTTCTTTTTTGAACCCTGTTATAGTCTTGGCCTTCATAACATCCTCTGGCAAGGAGTTCCACTAGTTGGATGTGTATTGCATGAAAAAATACTTCCTTTTGTATTAAACCTGCTGCCTATTAATTTCATTTGGTGACCCCTAGTTCTTGTGTTATGAGAAGTAGTAAACAACACTTCCTTATCTACTTTCTCTACACAAGTCATGATTTTATAGAACTCAATCATATCTCCCCTCAGCCGTCTCTTTTCCAAGCTGAAAAGTCCCAGTCTTATTAATCACTCCTCATACGGAAGCCGTTCCATACCCCTAATGATTTTTGTTGCCTTTTTCTGAACCTTTTCCAATTCCAATATATCTTTTTTGAGATGGGACGACCACATCTGCACGCAGTATTCAAGATGTGGGCGTACTATGGATTTATATTGAGGTAATATGATATTTTGTCTTATTATCTATTCCTTTCTTAATGATTCCCAACATTCTGTTCACTTTTTTGACTGCAACTGCACATTGTGTGGATATTTTCAGAGAACTATCCACATTAACGCCAAGATCTCTTTCTTGAGTGGTCACAGCTAATTTAGACCCCATCATTGTATATGTACTGTTGGGATTATGTTTTGCAGTGTGCATTACTGACCTGGGGTCAGCAATGCTCTAGTCTAGAACACATATTGTTAAGGATAACAATAATTTTAAAGAAGCATAGCTCACAGTCAGAGGCAGCTTAGAGCTTCAGCCCATTCTCCCCTCCCATAGGGAGCACCAAGAGTCAGTTTTCCTTTGGGATCTCCCCATGCACATAGGAAGAGCATACCCACTAATACATCCCAGTATGGGATGCAGCCTGCTCCCTTTTATGTGCCAGTCTCATTCAATGAGCCAATGCAGGAGGGCAGCTTGAGGGAGCTGGGAAGCTGAAGCTTCTAATCCCCCAGAGAAAAGGCTGCAGTTCACCTTAGCCTTTATGAAGGCCATGTAAGGGAAGCAGCAGCATTGGAAAGAATCCTTGAGCCCTCTCCCTGGGCCCAGTGTACATCCTCAGAAAGGCCTGGCAGGATCTGGTCCATAGATAATGAGGAACTTTGCACAGATTTACCAGGCTAAAACGACAGCCTCCCATGAAAGGCACCTACTTACAATGCGATCAGGCGAGAGTGATGACTTCCTTTGTCACTCTCGGTCTTTCTGAAAAACTGAGCTGGATTCCCAACCTTCCAGCCCAAATCATACCCAACATAGGGGGTATGGATCAGCGTTCATGTTGCATTCCCCATCAGCACCTGGGCCAGGAGGGAAGTTAATGATCCAGCCAGCTGACCAAATTCAGTGGTGAATCCTGGTCATGTATCACCTGAGGCACGTATGCTAAGAAGATGCCTAATATACTTAACCTATGTTTCAGTAATTCTGTACAGTGTCAGGTACTACTGTACTAAAAAGTGTGATATTCTTTGTTTGTGGATGCATTTCCCCCATCAACACATGTTACATGGAATTAAATGGGAAGACTAAGAAAATCACACTCATTGCCCAGGAGCATTATATACTGCCTTGTGTTGCAGCATATTTGGAGAATGGACCATATATGCAGTACACACTCCTTCAATTATCCAAATACTTTTTTGTTTGAATATAATAATGTTCATTATTCTCACTGCTTATCAGCTATTTGGACGTCTCTAACTCATGAAGACATTCTAGGGCAGAGGTTCTCAAACTGTGGTTTGCGGACCACCAGTGGTCCGCGAGCTCCATTCAGGTGGTCCGCGGATAGCTCCCTCTAAGACGCGCGCCTGGGTGGCCACACATGAGAGAATGAAGGGCCACCCACCTAATTAGTGGAGCCGCGCAGGACCTGGACCTTGGAGAAGACGCATATTTTAGGAGAGGGTGGTGGCCTTGGGAGGAATAGGGGGTAGGTAGGAGGGGGAAGTGGGGTGAGAAGAGGGGGTGGGGGTAATTTGGGACATGCAGGGCTGTGGTGGCCAGAGAAAGGTGACTTTCCCCAGCTCACGGGCTGCTGCAGCCGGGGAGAGACCCCGCTCCATCCCAGCCCCAGCTCAGGGGCTGCCGCAGCGGGGGAAAGACCCCTCTCCGTCCCAGCCCCAGCTCGGGGACTGCCGCAGCAGGGGAGAGAGGGCACATCCATCACATTAGGTAAGACTACCAATAGTAAAATATGAGTTATGTGCTTTTATTTGTAGAAAAAAAGTTAATTAAGTTCTTTTTATATAGCGCTTTTATCCAAAGTGCTTCACAATAGCTAGTTAATGGTAGAAACAACATTTGGAAAGATCATTAAGTGGACGGCCGAGATCCTCAGCAATTTTCAAGTGGTCCACAAAAAAAAAGTTTGAGAACCACTGGTTTAGGGCATTTAACTTCCAGTGAAGTCAATGGAAGCCCCATAAAAGCATCCAAGGCAAGAAATTGTGTACATAAGCACAGCTCTCACCAGGATAGTATTTTTAAAACTGAAGTGAAGAAGTGAAAAACATGCAGACAGAAAAGAAAATTAATGTGGTTTTGAACGTTGCTATACAACTTCCTGTGTTTGACCTCATAAAGAATAAAAGACATATGATCTGTAACTTCCTCTGACTTTTCTTTGATCTCTGGATGGAAAACTTAAAAAGCAGACTCTCTTATTAGCTGCTGCTGGGTTTATTTGTTTAATTAAATTCCCAAATAATCTCTAATGTTATAACATCTATATATACACAGATATTATGGGCTCAATCATACCCTCCTGAAGGAAAACAAACAGAAGTTTCTAAAGTATTGTGATATCAAGGAATGGGTTGAATTATATTCTGATGGAGTGGCCTCTACATGTCCACTGAATAGACAGAGAACTGCAGGGAATCTAGAGACAAGGCAAACTTGTGCATCTGTTGGGAGGGAGGGCAAAGGGAGGTGGATTAGAGATGGGAAAAGACGAAGGTGCCAGTTCATGTACCTTGGATAAGTAGCAGAGCCTTATACCTAGCAGTACAAGGCACAGAGTAACCTCACTCTGTCTGAGATCCATGGGAGCTGGGAAACAAGGCCTTACAGGGCACTCTCCATACATGAACACTGATTTGATCATGTGTTTATTTGTAACTTGTTTTCCACTACTTTGCTAGGGATTACTGCTGCACAGAGCGGTTCTGTCACATCTGCCCAGCCAATGCCCCCAAACCCGTAGAATCACAACTGCATGGAGTCAAGTATCAGAAGGGTAGCCGTGTTAGTCTGAATCTGTAAAAAGCAACAGAGGGTCCTGTGGCACCTTTGAGACTAACAGAAGTATTGGGAGCATAAGCTTTCGTGGGTAAGAACCTCACTTCTTCAGAGTTTCACACAGGGGCTTCTCCAGGGTCTGAAGGAGGGGGATTCTGTTATTTAGGTTCAATAGTCCTCCCTATAACAGATGTAGGATTCCACCTAATAATGTAGGAGGCAATATATATCTGTAGGTCTAAATCTATAATACACAAACACATGCACTGTGTGAGATACAGATATAGATAAAATCTCTGCATATTACAGACACATCCAACTTCAAAGAAATCTTTAGCAATATAACTTAAAATATTTAGATGCCAATTATGTTGTCTATGGAGTGAAAATATGGAAAACAGAACTCACTGTGTGTATATAGCTCTTACAATGATA